TTGGAACTTAAATTCTGAGAGACCACTATCTTGGTTGTGCATCTACCTCTATGGATACTCCTTTGTGGTTTCTGATCATCCTCAATTTCGCAATATCTAAACATTGGGAGATCCCAGAGTTTAGACCTTGAATCTCTTCTCATTCCCTAAGTGATTTCATGCTCACCCACGGCATTCAATACGTTTTATCTGCCCTTGGTTCTCCAGAATTACATCTAAACTGCCCACATGGCATTTCCATTGCAATGTCTCATGCATATTGTAAAGGTCACATGCTGTGTGGTATCATTTTAAGTCATGACAGCTGAACTCAAATATGCCCTTACTGCTCTTGATCATTATATTACACTTCTTTGATAATTCCTGCACTTTACTCTCTGGATGACTGCTTCACATATTGTCTCCTCAAACCTCCACCACTCCTCCTATCCTTTCTCTTCGTCAATGCTCCTAACTCTCATTCCACTGAGAAATTAGAAGTTACAGAGAACTTCCGTTCACAATCTTGCGATACCACCACAATGCACCCAGCACTAGCTCTGTCATTCACTCTGCCTTCTCTTCTGTTTCTATGGATGAATCATCCATGCTGCTTTCTAAAGCCAGTCACTTTTAATTAGTGTTTCATCACTGCTGTAATAAATTAACACAAACTTAGTTCATGGATCTGTAGGTGGACCTGGCTAGGTACTCTGCTTAGAGTCTCACAAGGCTGAAAACAAGGTGTCAGCTGGGCTGTGTTCCTCTCTCAAGGCTCTGGGGGAAAATCCATTTCCACGTTCATTCAGGTTGTTAGAAGAATCTGATTCCTTGCAGCTATAGGACTAAGGTAACTGTTTCCTTGCTGGCTATCAGTGGGATGGCCTTTAGTTTCTAGAGGCCTCTCTCTGGTCCTTGCACATGGGCTCTACATCTCAGAGCCAGCTGTGGTGTGCTGAATATTTCTGATACTTGGAATTTCTCTAACTTACTCTGCTGCATCAATCTTATGCTTCCAGCCAGAGTGAGTTCTCTGCTTTTAATGGTTCATGTGAAAGCAACTATACTCTAATAAAAATGATTCATGTGATGAGATTGAGCACACCCAGATAATCCAGAGCAGTCTCCTTCTCTTAAGATCCATAACCTCAATTGTATCTTCAAATTCCCTTTTGCCATGTAATATAATATATTCAACTGATTCCAGGGACTAGAGTGTGGACATCTTTGGAGGGCCATTCTGCCTGTCCCACTCTCCATTTGTGCTCCAACAGTTTCCCCCTCTCTTCTCTTCATCATTGTTTCTCTCACCTGGATTTTTTCTAACAGCATACAAAATGCTGATATTTCTCCCATATTAACAATGCTTCCTTAACTTCACTTTCCCTTCCAATTACTGCCCCATTTCTCTGTTCTCTTTGGAGAAAACCACCTTGAAAGAATTGTTGTCTATCTCCAATTGTCCTTCCATTCTCTCTTGATCTTTCACCCTTTTTAGCATACTGAACCTGATTTTGTCAAGCGCACAAATGATTTTACACATTTTAAATTCAAGGGTCAATTTTCACTCTTCATCTAACTTTCATTTTGCAAAACTCATCATTGAAAATTTCATTTGGCTTCCAAGACATTACCTTTTTAGGTTTTTTCTTAACTCTTGGAAACTCCTTCTCAGTCTCCTTTACTGGGTCTTCCTCATGTTCCTGACTACTTAGACTACCTGAGGCTTTTCTATCTGTACTCATTTCCTTGGTAATCATATCCAATCTCATGGCTTCAAATACCGTGAATATACAGTGACTTCCAAATTTATATCTGTAGTCTAAAACTGTCCCCTCAACTCTAAGCTTGTATATTCAACTACCTTTTCAATATATTCATGTAGCTATCTTATAGGCAAAGGTAACACGTTCACTGTCAGACTCCTCATCTTCCCCACAAAGGCTGTTCTTCCCACTGTCTCTTGGTCAATGCCAGCTCCATTCTTCCATTTAATGGAACCCAATATCTTGGAAATGTTACTGGCTCCTCTCACTAATCTACCTCCCTTAATACCTAGTGTCAAATCCATTAAAAAACCCCTACTGTTTCTAACACCAAGATATAATCAGAAGCCAACCCCTTCTAGCCACCTCCACCAAAGCCATCCTGGTCGACGCCACCATGATGTCTGGCTTGTTTTATTGCAGTAAACCCTCCATCAGTTCCCCTTCCTCTAGTCTGACCTCCACACAGCTGCCACAGTGAGCCTGTTAAAATGCGAGTGAGATCACCTCCGTCCTCTGCTTAAAACCCTACTTCTTTCAGAATAAAAGCCAGAGTCTTTACGATGACCAGGAAAGCCCTACATGATCTGTGCCCTCTATGCCTATTGCCATCTCCTGCTCACCTGCGACACCCGCCCCCCTACTCAGAACACTTTCCC